TTTTCGTTCCCTAATTTTCTGCATTTCCTACCTTCTTTAACCATCGCTTTTCTTCTTTCCCACAATTTTCCTAATTTTCACTACCTTTATTCTTCGTCCGTTGTTTCTCTCGCAATTCCTCCAATTTTCTCCAATTTTCGCTCTAGAAAATGGCGAAACGGCGGAAAACGACAGATCGTCCTGGCGAAATCTAAAAGCTTGTTCGGCCGGAGGAGCGTCTATAGGTTGACGGGTTGTCTGGCGGGGCACGCGTTGCGGGCAAGGTTTTCGCGATCGATCGGCCAAACATTTGCAGGAAAAACAAAGGAGAAGAGTAATGGAAATTTTTGCAAAGTGCCAGAATATCTGCGCGTTGTCTGGTGGTGGTCGGATCGGCAGAATTTTCCAGATATCGCGAGTGGGGTGGTTCGATGAAGAATCGCGGCCCGACTTTTCGTTCGTGACAATTTTTCTTTCTTTTCATTTCTCTGTAATATCAACTGATATCAATGCAAGACTATTTTCGAACAAACCAGGAATCGCGTTAATTGTGATTGGCACGGCTGAAGCTAGTAAATAGACGATGATAAACACAGGTACGAAAAGTACGTTACCTGTTTGTTGTGACACTCTCACTCGCTCATTCTCGTCCAACAGTTCGTAGACTTGGAAATTCCAGAGGAACTAGTTGCTCTGTGTTAATGGCCGAAGGAGCATTGCATTCGTAATCTTGAAAATTGCCGGTGTTACGCTGCTGCAAACTTCTGATTTAACTGGACGAAAAAAAGGTTGCTGTTATGCTAGCAGGTTGTAACAAGTAGTATTACGTTAATTCCTCTTTTCACGGAAGAAGACTTGTTTTAACCGTAGAGCGGTCTTCGGGTCTTTCTTGACCCACCGCCTTTTTATATTTTTAGTCATTTTTGCTGTTGTCAAGTTTACGTTCATATGTCGCGTTGGAAACAAAAATTGTTTCACATAAGGTGTTAGATCCTTTTTCACCCAAAAGTCTCAAGTGTACAGTCAAAACGAAGAACGCAGTAGGGTTAAGGCTCGACCAGTTTTACCGTTGCAATTTCACGAAATTTTGAGATTAAGACAAATTTAAGGAATTCCAAATTTGAATAATCTAGATAAATGAAATAATTTAAAATAAAACCTTGCGAACTTCGGTGTAATTCCTTTTATACGTAATGTAGAACGCAACGATAGAATTACACATAGAGAATTCCTAAATGAATTATTATTAACACATCTTGCGCGGGAAGCGACTAAAGTCGTTTTGCACGGATTATTGGTGGATTATTGTTATCGATGGGCTTTTGTAATGTATTTACAATAAGATCGGATGCACATGAGTACTAGGTCGACGCCCGTATATTTCAACATTAAAACGTGCGTTGCAAAAATGCATTCCTATGAATCTTGCAAAAAATACAGTAACTTGGAAGAATATTATTAATGAAATTATAACAAGTTTATTAGTAGGGAACTGAATTAATGATCAGTTGATAATAATGATATTTCATAAAAATTATATAAATAAAAGTAGATTTTAAAATGGACAATCATCTGGAATTTGCTGAAATGGAAAGTGAAAGAAGCACAAATAAAAACTGGTCGAAACTGGTCTTTTTATTCCATTCTTAATTTTTAAAGAGAAGCTAAAAGTTTTACTTAAAAAACACCTAAAGTTCAAAAAGTACAGCTATTTTGTGCAGAAGTAATTTTGCGTACGAATTGTAAAAAATCGCCCGCTAGCCGGTGAGAGTTTGGCGGCAAAGCACCCGCGCAAAATGTGTTAATAATTGAAACGAAGAGTTGACACGTCACACGAACGTGTATTTACACAAATCCAATGAAATATCGCCAGTACAGATTGCAAAACATTTTATTGAACGTACCTAATTTTCCTCGACAAGTAAAGAATAAAAAACAATGGCTCGTATGATTAAACATTGCATCGAAAAGTGAATAACTGGATGAAACAAAAGTTAGAAAATTTCATTTCACTTCAATCACGTGCTGTAACGTTGAAATAAGAAAAATTGGAGAAAATGGGATTTAGTCGACAGAATAAACGCGTTTAATTTCACATTCGGTATTGACGAAACGAAACGGTTTTAAGATGTGATTACGATCGACGTTAAAAGTGAATCGAACGAGAGAGAGTAATTAAAAGTGGAGAGCTTATTCAGCGCAATCAAGTGTTGCGGAATCGTGTCTCCATTGGGCAGAGAAAAGCGACGAATCGCTGTGGCTGGTTTCGCCTAGCAGCGCGATCGCCAGGACGATAAATTGCTATCGATTTGTCGCTCTTATTTTGCCGGGGGATCGCGCGCGACTACACATGGCCTCCTTTGAAGCTCAAACTTACACCTCCGGCGACAGGGAAAATCAATAAGGAGTCGGTGAACGCGTTCAGCCCGGCCATGCTCTACGTTTCTGTTGCGTGTGCACCCGCAAAAAATCGTCTGCGACCCTTGCCGAAAATTCCAGCGACTTCTGTAATTAGAGGAGACGTTGGGACGATGGACGGTGTAAGGGGTGGAAGTGAAAATTTTCAAATCGTTGGCTTCTGTAATTATTTGGAATTTGAAATGATGACGGATGTAAGGGGCAGAAGTGAAAATTTTCAAATCACTGGCTTATGGAGTTATTCAGAATTCGGAATGACGAGCGATGTAAGGGGCAGAAGTGAAAATTTTCAAATCATTGAGTTTGTGATTATTTGGAATTTGGAATGACGAGGGATGTAAGTGGCAAAAGTGAAAATTTTCAAATCACTGGCTTATGGAGTTATTCAGAATTCGGAATGACGAGGGATATAAGTGACGAAAGTGAAAATTTTCAATTCACTGGCTTATGGAGTTATTCAGAATTCGGAAGGACGAGGGATGTAAGTTACAGAAGTGAAAATTTTCAAATCACTGGCTTATGGAGTTATTCAGAATTCGGAAGGACGAGAGATGTAAGTGACAAAAGTGAAAATTTTCAAATCATTGAGTTTGTGATTATTTGGAATTTGGAATGACGAGGGATGTAAGTGACAAAAGTGAAAATTTTCAAATCACTGGCTTATGGAGTTATTCAGAATTCGGAATGACGAGGGATGTAAGTGACGAAAGTGAAAATTTTCAATTCACTGGCTTATGGAGTTATTCAGAATTCGGAAGGACGAGAGATGTAAGTGACAAAAGTGAAAATTTTCAAATCACCGAGTTCTGTACTTATCTAAAATTTGAAATGACGAAGGATGTAAGTGACAAAAATGAAAATTTTTAATTCGCTGAGCTCTGTGATTATTCAGAATTTGAAATGACGAGGGACGTAAGTTACAGAAGTGAAAATTTTCAAATCACTGGCTTATGGAGTTATTCAGAATTCGGAATGACGAGGGATGTAAGTGACAAAAGTGAAAATTTTCAAATCACTGGCTTATTCAGAATTCGGAATGACGAGGGATGTAAGTGACAGAAGTGAAAATTTTCAGTTCACCGAGTTCTGTAATTATTCCGAATTTTTCAAACCCAAGTGAAAATTTTCGAAGTGAACAGAAAATACGTTTGCTCACATTGACATTAACACCGTTTCATCCCTCCATCTTCATAGAATTACAAAACAGAACTTTCAAAAGTTTTCCATTCGAAAACTCTCTTCTCTCCCGATACCCCAAACATTCCCTCTTATCGATCACTCGATCGCGCATCTTCTAAAGATACCACCCGATTTCCCCCCGCGGTGGCGAACAACGAATTTTCCCAGTGACTCTAATTTTCCCCCAGCCGAGTT